ATCTAACTCTAACCTAACTAAACCTAATCCTAAAACCAAGTCTTAACCCTCCAACAGTGTTTTGAAGAAGTGAGGACCAGTCAGAATGTCCTCAGAACATTAAATGGTCCTCACAAAGATACAGGAACACACAGAGTCAGATCATATCTGTGTTGTTAAGTGTGATCACTTCATTTTTAATGGAAAACACAGTTAAGGGACTTTTCCCCCGTTTGTTTAAGTGAGTCATTAGATTCTAATCTGAGTCCAACCATCGGCTGATGAATCCAAAGCTTGTGATAGCTATGCCATGGGAATTCTTATGTAGCGGCGCCCTCAGGCGGCCATCTGCACGCATTGCATGTTGCCACCTGTTATTTTTCCAGGTCAGGGATGGAGCTGATGTTTTTTAAATTAGAGATAATGTGTTTTTATGATTTGAGTTTTCAAACTGGAGAGATTTTCTGCTGTGTAAATTGTTTGCATGTCAGATCTGTCTCTGACAACATCTCTCTGAAAGAGCACTTATGTACTGAGGGTTCGTTCCTCCAGGTGGCTTCACCTTCATCTTCATCTTAGTCAGGACACATTCAAACCAACACATCACACGTTACAGCAGGTCAGAAGACCAGAGATTCTCATGTTGGCTCATTTAGACCTGAAACAACATGTATGTATAATATGAATGAGTGATAGTAGCATATGAAATCTGAGGTTACAGGATGTTCCATGTTAAAGGTGTAGCTCCTCTGAGGTTTGTCAGCTGTGATTAATTATTCAACTCAATTCGAGTGATTGTGGAGTGGAGCTGTGGCATCAACACATTCAACCAATCAGGAGTCAGTGTCAGCTGTCAATCATGAGGTTTTCATATCATCAGATAACTAATTCAAACCAAACTGATCCACAAACATCAGAGAGATGTGAACGAGCTATTTAACGTCTACGTTGGTATTTTATTTTGGTCCATGAGGAGGGTCGTCCATCTTTAATTACAGTCTGACTCAATCTGAGGCTCCACATAAGAAGGAGAGGGAATTCAAAATAAGAAACATTAGAATATAAATTAGATGTATATATTCTAAGCATCTTATTGTGAAGGCAGCTTCCTCAACCTTCCGGTCCAGTGAGTCCCTGATCCTCTGCGTGTTTTCTGAAAATCCGCTTTTTACCGCGAGACTTGCGGATGTTGTCGCCGAAGAAGAACCGGAAGTGCGTCCACAGAACTAACGCAGCGGGGCTCAGTCCGGAGGAACCGGAGCAGGGCGGGACCCTCTGAGAGTCTCCCGGTGTTCGGAGCTCACTTTGTGGGGTTTGAACCCGGAAGCTCTCTGGAATCTTCGGCGCTCACTGGTTCGGTCCCCCCCACCGGAAGTGACGTGTCTGCCTGCTGGTGGGCAGTGAATCATCAGGGTGGATGAAGGGGGCGGGGTTAGAGAGATGCTGTCACCGACTCTAACCCGCAGGAGAACAAACGAACTCCGCACGACCCGCACGTCCTGAGCTGCGGGACCTCAGCCGCAGACATGGAGGACATTCTCCGGAAAATACTCAGAGACGCGACCGGACACAGACACAAAGGAATACGGGAAGCGTGTGTGTCCGCCCGCGGTGAGTGTCCGCTGATCTTCATCATCTTCATCATCATCATCATCATCATCATCCACCTGCTGGATGTTACAACACACACACACACACA